AAAAAAAAAAAAAAAAAAAAAAAAGGATGACTGAAAGATCTTCAATATCTTCTGCATTAGTATAATATTTTAATTTTTTTTATAGCCCCTTTTCATATGGTGCTTCCTTTTGAAATTGTTTGGTTTGTTACTTAACAAAAGTCTGTCTTGGTGTTTTATCTTCCCATATAGCATCTCCTTTACTCTTTGAAAATATTTTGATTTGTTATCTCACAAATATCCAACTTATCGTTGTAGATCTACAAATTTAGATTCATGGACTCCTGAGCAGTTGAAAATGATGTCCTTTGGGGGAAATAATCGTGCTCAAGTTTTCTTCAAGCAGCATGGATGGAATGATGGAGGCAAGATTGAGGCCAAGTATACATCAAGGGCTGCTGAGTTATACAGGCAGTTGCTTTTAAAAGAAGTTGCTAAGAGTAACGCAGAAGAAGTTTTACCTTCATCTCCCATTGCATCTCAGTCAACACAACCTTCTAACAACTTCTCTGAGAGTAAGATCTATGAAGCCCCGAAAGGAAGCTCAGTTAATGATTTACCAGAAGAAAGTTCTTCTGTAAAGCCTGAAAAAACTGAGGTTTCTGCCCCAACCAAAACCGCTCAAACAATTGGCACTACGATCGTGAAAAAGCCTTTTGGTGCAAAGAAAACTGGGAAGGTGGGGGGCCTCGGTGCCAGAAAGCTTACTACTAAGGTGAAGATTAGGGCATAAACCAAATGGTTTAAATTACATAATATATCTCAAAACGGAAGTGATAATTGTTTAATTCTCCATGATTACTGAATATCTGAATACCTTTAACCCAATGCAGCCTAGTGAAGGTCTCTATGACCAGAAGCCTGAAGAGCTCCCCCCTGTACAAGTTTCCTCAAGTGTTTCCTCAAACAATGGCACCCACAAAGTTGCTTCATCTTTTGCATCTCGATTTGAGTATTCGGACAATATTCAACCTGCTGATATGAGTCCTGGAGGTGCTCATGTCGTTGGCCATGTAACTCCACCTAAGTCGTCCAACTTCTTCGCTGAATATGGCATGGACAGTGGTTTCCCAAAGAAGAGCAGCATGAACTCAACCAAAGTGCAAGTAAATTCATTTTTTCCCTATATTGTTGAGTGACCAAAATTGAATCAGCTTTCAGTTTGATAATCTCACAGAGAAGGAAAACAATATCTGACGCCTTGTGTGATAGGAATTCAAGATCTAATAAATACGAAAAATTATTTTATTTGTTGACAGTCATAAGGTCATCTGCCTTCTATTTATGGCATCAATAAATGGATGTTGGATTGAAACATGAAATTACTGGTAAAAAGCAATCAAAAGTTGCACTCAGATCATAAAAGTTCGGCTAGTAAGATTCTGTCATTCTTAAAAAATACACATTTTGTGGCCGACAAATGAAGGTTTGATACGTTTTAAAGCAGTTTATCAATTTTATGATGTCAGATTTCGGAAACTTTTTGGTTCTAGTTCTTCTTTGCAGTGTTCTTCATGATCTAAATCATGAAGGATGTACTGGGTATGTATTGAAGGCATTAAGAAGCCCACCAATTCCATTTTGATGCAGATAAGGGACATTTAGCATTTGATACACATTCAATTTCTATACATAAGATCTTTTCTAAGATTGATGAAATATCTGTACAGTTTTAATTCTTTAACTTATGTTCCTTGTATTGATTTTGCCTTCTGGTTTGCCCTTTCACCTTGCTGATTTTCTTGTTTTAATTATTTTCCTTTCCTGATGTCCATCTCTGAGTTTTCAATTGTGTCAGGGTTCTGCGTGATTGGATGTTATTATGCATGTTTCTTTCAAACCTCGAAATCTCTAATCATAATTCTTCCACATATATCATATCAGGTTGAGGAAACAGATGAAGCGAGGAAGAAGTTTTCTAATGCAAAGTCCATATCATCTGCCCAGTTTTTTGGTGTGAACAAAGCCAGTGATATTGAAGCATCTGCTTCCCTGCAAAAGTTCTCTGTATGTACTGTCATCCTTGTACATTTTTTTTTATTCCGTACTATATTTTCTTTCGGGTGAGTTGGGTTATCGTTTCATTAAATTCTTTCTATCCCATCATCTTGGAGATTATTGAGTTTTATATGGTGATAACAATATTTTATTGGTGCTATATGTTTCTGAAGTTATTTGATTTTGCATAACTTTTAGATGAGATTTTTTTAGAATGTTTATTAGCTAGTCTTTGTAAATCAAAGTACATCTGTTCCTTGTCCACAGTGATTGTAAATTTTTAGGTTTATAGTTTGGTCCAATTTAAAACCAAACTTTCGTTACTTAGTTCACTAATATGTAATGGGTTCAATGTTTCAACTTTTAACAGTAAAAGCAGAACCCAGATATAAGTGCATTCTTTGTACTCTTGCATTTTGAATAAAGTATCTGTCCTTTTCACTCGACATTGAGATGATTACTACTTGATTAATTCGGGTTTACATAATTTTTCATCAGATTACTCCTTGTTAAATGTTTTCCTTAATCCACTCTGAACAATCTTTCAGTTATGTTATCTTTCTTGAAACTGGTCTGTTTGGTAGAGATACATTTGTCTTGTAGGATTGTATATGCTGATGAATTCACATTCTTTTGTTCTCTTCAATTTTAGGGTTCGACATCAATCTCTAGTGCCGATCTCTTTGGCCACGATGCCAGTAATTCATCTGTTGACCTCACAGCAAACGATCTCATTAATCGTCTCTCTTTTCAGGTACAAAAGGGGNTTGGCCACGATGCCAGTAATTCATCTGTTGACCTCACAGCAAACGATCTCATTAATCGTCTCTCTTTTCAGGTACAAAAGGGGCATGTTTGGTGCACTGAATTATTTTGTAATGGAGGAGACAACTTAAATTTTTTTAACTTTTTTCCTTAGTCCTCCTGCCCACTAAACTTACCCAGGCGTATACGTTGGGCATGTTTGTTCGGATTTATTTTCCTTTTGATTTCTCACACCCCCTCCTTAATATATATCTTTCTCGTATATCACGGTCTCTTTTTGGTTTTTATATTTGCCGATCTTACGGTATCCAATATTTAACTCCTCGTTTACGGTATTTAACAGGCACAACAAGATATCTCCTCCATTAAGAATATTGCAGGAGAAACCGGGAAGAAGCTCAGCTCACTGGCGTCCAATATATTTACGGATATTCAGGACAGAATCCTGTGATAAAATGCAATATATTTTAAACTCAGACCAAGTTTGTTATGGTAACCGCCATTGAATGTTCCATGTAATTCGTGTAAAACGAGAGGGTTTCAATAGATCAAGTAAGATCTGAAAGTAGTAGGTTTGTGATATGTTTTGTGTTATTTTGAGTCGGTAGTTGTTGAAGAAAATTCATGCATTTTTGAAGTTTCTAAACCTAATAAATATTTTGTACTCTGTATTATGTGACGGAATGCTGGGATTTGAAACCCGCGAAAAAAGTAGTTATATTTTGAATAATTTTCCTCAAACAGGGGTCGTGACAGGCCCTTGTGACAGGTCAGGGGGAAGGGGCCTGTCACAGTAGCAAAACTCTTATATTTTACAGTTTTTTTTACTCTTCGTATCTGAGGCCAGCCAAGGAGTGGTGGCCTTTTTACATTACATACCCTTATTTGGTCTCGATTTTAAAGAGATTTTGAAAAAAATATATTATGGAATGGTAATTTTTTTCAGAATATATATGTTTTGAATTCATATGTAATATTATTTTTTCAAATTGAAAATGTGTTTGAAAACGAAAAAAAGAAGAAGGGAGAATGCATTAAAGTAAAATCGAGTCCCAACGGGGACATGTTTTTGAAAAAGAATTGAAATGGCGTATTCGAATATCTTTAATTTAATTTATGTGGATACGTATTCACTCTACCAAATTGATTTTGACGGGGGAAGGTAAATTTCAAGGAAATTTGAGAGGGGACAACCTTAAAATTCGTTATCATTTCAAGGAAAGAGTTTGGATAGTCTTTGACCTTTCCTTGGGTGTACAATTAACACCCCGTTTGAGTCCCATTAACTTACATTATATTTTATTTTTCTTTTCTATTTTCAATTATATAATCTTCCATAAAATAATATTACACGTAAATCAAAAATTTTTCTTTCTTTTTCAACCACTCATTTTTAAAAAAAATATTATTTCACCCGTTAATTTTTCTACGTAATGGAGGCCAAACAGGAGCTAAAATATATTGCATATTTGTTTATGTTAAAAAAAGTAAGTGTTGATATACTTCCTAAATAGAATTTTGTTAGTAAAGAAAAGATAATTTGGAAATCACATTTAATAACGTAATTTCTTAACAACCACATATACACTCTTAACAACATTTTTAGTAGAGATAATTGCATAATATTAAATAATACTAAAAAAATAAATTAAAATTTAATAGTTTATATTGTCTTGTTATAATAGAGTAATGTTATCTGAATGAATGTAATAAGTCCATATTAAATTAAATGAATTCTACACTTTAATCAAGTTAAAATTAACAAATAATTTTATTAGCACATTTCATCGGTTTTTATAAAAATCTAATTATATTCTACACTAAATAGGAGCAAAGTGATATTTCAGTTCGACGTTAAGAGTTATTTTTTAAAAAATCTTTTCAATTTGATTTTATGAAACTCATAATTTTTTTCCCTTTTTGATCGTAAATTCTTTTAAAAGTTCATTTTATCACTTCAAAAAATCTCTCCCAAACTTTAAACTATAATATTACATAAATTTATGGTGGAATGCCACTTTGAGCACATGAAAGTAAAGCCAAAAACTCTTTTCCCTCTCTTAAAACCGCAAATTTTTTGAAAGTCACACTAATATTTTTCCATTCCCTCCCCTCTCCAAATTTCCTTAAATTTCATTTTCCCTCGCGAAAAACAACACCTAATTTTCCGTCCCTTTTCTCGTCCGCCTTCGAAACCCTAATTTTCGCTTTCAACAAATTTTGATTCCATTCTTCTCCATTTCGTTACCCAAACTAAAATGGAAAATAATTCTGCTGAAATCGCACTTCCAAATTCATTTGATCCCGCCAAAACCCTAGACGGGCAAACGTTGGATCAGCACACGGGTTCTTACTCCAAACTCGAAAATCCTTCAATTGTTGAAAACTTATCGACGGTGGGCTCTGAAGAGTTGCAGGAAGATTCTGATTTACTAGACGCATTTTTGTACATGGACGAAGAGAACGAGGAGAAAGAGAGTGAAATTGGAGAGGATGAACACTCGAATTGGTCGCCGACTACTGATTTTTCTGCCGGGCCTTGCTCGAAAAATTATGATCTCAACGGAGAATCTTTGGCTTTGAATATTAAACCCTCGGCATCGGACTGGGGTAAATGGCCTTCGCCAAAAAGACCGGCCGAAATTGAATTCAATACTCCTGTTTTGAGTTTACTATTGGAAGATGCCAAGCCTGTTATCGTGGTAAAATTATTTATTATTATTATTTTTAATTTTTATATATTTTTTTAAAGTTTTATATTGGCTAATATATGTCGTGTTGATATTGAATTTTGACATTTTGGTCTTTAATGCACCATATTTTGTGCTAGGGTTAATTTTTTCCCTCAATATTTACCTGCCCGTATAATTCTTGTTGCTACATGCTTCTTTTGCCTTCTATTTTTAATTTGACATTTAATTATCTACATGTGAAAAATTTACAGGGAGCAGGTTTCGCAAATTTGGGCAACACGTGCTTTCTGAATGCTGTGTTACAATGCTTTATACACACTGTGCCACTTCTTCAAGGACTTTTTTACTCTTCCCATTTGACTCCTTGTCATTGTAAGATCAATATTGTGTTCTTATTTGAGCTGTCAATTGTCTGAGCGTGTGTCCATTTGGTTTGATCAAATCCTAAAAGTAGGAATTGCTTAGAAAAAAAATTTGTTTTTGGAAAGTATGAACTTGGATTTTCATATTCCTGTTTGGAATTGGGTCTTTATGCTCCTGTGTATAATGATTTGCAGTTTACAGTGATGGCTTCTGTGTGCTCTGTGATCTGCGTGAGCTTGTTGAACTTTCGTTGATTTCTGCTGGCAGAACTGTCACCCCTGGGAAGCTTGTGAACAGTTTGAGCTGTATCCTCTTTTGTGTTTCTATTACCTGTTTGGTATTGATTTAAATCAGATTTTTATCTAAGTCAAATTCAAATAATCAATATTAATCACATATTTTAAGCGTCCAACAACTTTCAACCATATATTTCAAAAAAATTTATCAAAATCTACAAAAAATCTAATTTCAATCCCCAGCATACAGGGGCTACAAGTGCAATAATTTTCAGTGGCATAATCATAAATAATGTGCTTATTTTTTAAATATATTACCATTTGGTGTTCTTGTAGGGCATTTTGTTTTTGATTGTTTTAAGTTAACAAGATTTATCTTTCTCATGTTCGAGCAATAGGATGTGTATTATATGAATTCTGATTGAAATTGAAATGCAAAAAACTTTATTTAGTTTATTTATCATAAACGCTATATTGCAGGGATTTACTTATTATATCAGAATTCTTGGTTGCGTTATAATTCCTTGACTCTAGAAAATTACTAGATTTTTCATCGAGTTTCAGAAGGTTTCAACAGGAAGATGCTCATGAATTTCTGCAGTGCTTTTTGGATAGACTTGAAAGTTCTGAAAATTCAAAGCTGAAAGAAGCAGTGTCTTCACGGAATGACAACTTTGTGAAGCAGGTTTTTGGTGGTCGTCTTGTTAGCAAAGTATGAGTTCAAGGATAATCCTTTTTTTCCCTTCTCTATGTACTACCTAAAATTTGATTCATTCTTGCAACCAATTTTTTTTTGTGTGAATGTGCACTTGTCTATGTATTATTCTGAGTTAATATATGATTATTTAATTAGTACGTCTGTGAAATTGCAGCTAAAGTGTTGCAACTGTGGTCACAGTTCTGACACTTACGAGCCATCAATAGACCTAAGTTTGGAGATTGAGGATGCAGACACGCTGTTAATAGCTTTACAATCCTTCACAAAGGTTGAAAAAATTGAAGATCAAGAGACTAGGTTTACATGTGAAGAGTGTAAGGAGCAAGTATCGGTTGAGAAACAACTTGTGTTGGACCACGCCCCTGCAATTGCTGCATTTCACTTGAAGAGATTCAAAAGTGATGGTTGTTATGTTGAGAAGATTGACAAGCATGTAGCATTTCCATTAGAGTTGGATTTGCTGCCTTTCACTGGTGGTGACAAAACAAATGATGTGAGTTTCCATTACTACTTTTGTACTCTCTGCATGCAAAACACTGTATATATTACCTTAAGAGGATCAGTAGACATGAATTTTGTTGGAAAATACTTGATGCAGGGTAATTAGTAGTTAACATGACGATGGTACCCTACTAGCAAACTGCACTTGTACCTAGTTATCAATAGCTCAAACTATTGCTGAATATGCATTTTTCTTGTCCTGCTTTGTTGAAATTATATAGTTGTTAGGTGGGACAAATACTAAGTGAGTTCTGATGTGGCAAATTTAATTTATTTAGGGAATATTAGCTTATTCAGTATTCTACTTTTGAACTATTGTGATGTAAACTGATTTTGTGAAATCTTTCCCTATTTGTTTTGCAGGCAGAACTTAAATATGAACTTTACGCTGTTGTTGTGCATGTTGGATTCACATCCACTTCGGGCCACTATTATTGCTTCATTCGTGTATCCCCCGATACATGGTGCAAGTTTGATGATTCAAAGGTAATGTATTGGATAGTACTGGTATTGAATTTATTTTCTGTTGCTAATTGAATTACTTCATAAACAATGGAAGTGAGTCTCTATTCTCGTTTTTTTCGTCTGGAGTTGTCGAACAATAATAAGCAGGTTCTGTTGGTGACATTTAGCTTTTTAAGTATTGACAACTTCTGCCTTTCTTAAATATCCTTGGACAACTGAGTGTGAAGAAAGATACTGATGCTGAATTGCAATTCTGTAGGTATTTCGGGTTCATGAACAGTTTGTGCTGTCACAGGAGGCATACATTCTCTTTTATGCAAAACAGGGCACCACCTGGTTTTCAAATTTTATTGAATCTCAAAAACTAGGCATCCACTCAACTGTACTGAACAACTCCCCCAAATCAGTGTTGGATAATCCAGACATCTATGCATCTCCTCTTGTGCAAAATTATCATGGTTCTGATGTCAATGGAAGAGATGACACTGCTGATGAATCTCTTCCAGAGGATTATAGTGAACCAAAACTTACTGGAGTTGAGAACATTGAAAATAAAGATAATCGATCAAGTGCAATAGGTGATTTGCCCAAAGAATCTACTTCATTGCCAAAGGTAGTAAATAATCCATCCAATGTAACTTCACATGTTGCTCACAAAGTAATTTCTTCAAGTTCACTGAAAAAAATTAACATCGATATGGAGGTTGGTGCTGTTGGAAATAAACCCAATATTACTCTAACACCTCAGAGATCTTCAAGTCCAGAGATGTACAGAGAAGACGAACCAGGTCAACTTTATCATACTTTGTTCTGTTGAAGTTCCCATTTGATTGATTTTATTAGCATGGAAAGTCAAGTGTTCAAAACTGTCTTTTGTTTTCAGATGCTGGTTTATCTATTCCGCATGACCATTTGAGGTTGGTGGATAGTATATCTTGCAAGAGAAAATTGGAGAAGGATCTGGATGATCAGGAAACAAAGCAGGCCTTCTCATTCATAAAGAAAAGCATTCCGGGTTCCAGAGGTCAGCAGTTAATGGCTGCTTTGATGGGGCCACGCAGTGAAGGTGCTGTGAATAAGAAGAGGAGTAAAAGAATGAGTTCGTCTCCAAATAGGGTTAAGAGTACTTCGACTACTCGTGACAGGTCGAGCATTGGAACTAAAGCTCGTCCTTTGGTTGCTGGGGGTTTCAGGTGAACATGATTTCTTGCAGGTAGTCTCAGATGTCCTGGTTAGTTTTCATAAATCTGTTAAAGGATGGTCCATGTAGTTTTTACTGGATGTTTTGCTGGAATTTCTGTTTCAACAAATCGGTCAGGGACATTCTCCTTTTTGGGCTCTAGCTTATCTAGCTTCCACTGGGCAATTGGCCGGTAGGTAGCATTTTTCTAGCTTTGTTAATATTTGGTGTAAAGTCTAGTAAAGATTATCGATATTATATTTATAGGGAATGACAAGGGTATTGAATTACGAAGGTTGAGCACTGAGTTTAATTTCTAGATTTTATATTATGTTGTTTTTACTTGGTTTTATTGTTCAACCATATGGATTTCCCATGGTAGAGGTGGAGGGTGGGCTTTAGGTTGACTTCACTTTGAGGTAGATGGAATCTTGCTTGCATAGAGATGGCAATGAGCGAGCCGGGCGGTTTGGATACCAAGTGAACCTAGCTCGGCTCACTTTGGGGAGAGTCGAGCGTGAGCTAGCTTGACTTTAGCTTTTTGGGCTCAGCTGGTCCCATAGGCTTGCCTATTCGTGACGTTGAGCTGCCCATGGGTGCAGACCAAGCCGACGAGCCAGAAAGCAGCTTGTGCCCATTGCCATCTCTATGCTTTTGGGGCATTTCAAAAGAAAAGGTGAACTCGATTTTCCCGAGGGTGGAAGTGCATATTATAGCTTTGACATGAATTGAACAAAGCTCGTGTTGATTAAAAAAAATAATAATAAAAATAAAAGAATTTCACCCGAGATGTTTAACTTGACAGATGTCCAAGGGAAACTCTTCTTTTGTTTTAATGTCATAGAGGCCTCTTCTTATCTTGGTGTAATTGCATGAAGTTGACTTGTTGGAACAATATTGATATGACTGGGAAGAAACCAGATTAAAATGGTAGCCCCAAATTAGAGCTGAGATTTAGAACTAGAGAAATGCTAAAAAAAGAGTTTGGGATAGGGTTTAAATTTAGGCAGACGTGGCATTCACTAATTGGGTAGTTAGGGAAAAAAAAAAAAGAAAAAAAGATAACGAAACAGGTGTTGATTCCAAAATCTGTTGGCTATCCTTGTCAGGATAGCTCTACTGTTAGAACTATTGGGATACCATGGCTCAACCCACCCGGGCTAGTTCATTTGAATTCCAAATTAGCCAATGTCAATTCAAATCAGGATAAAAATGTCAAGGGGCTTCAACCATTTACCAACTGTTTAGCCATCAATCTACTATTGAAGAGAGTCGGTTTCTCCACATACTAATCATCTGCTTATGCATACAATGGCCACTTCACGGACGATTAGCTACTTATCTCAACAAGTATAAACATGAAATAGCGTCGAAGTATAATCCACTGCCACCCTTTCTTCCAGTGGACGTGAATTCTAACCTTCACCCATTTTTGTAGACATCTAAAGACGAAGAAGCAGAGGGAACCACTCTTTTTAAGAGGTGAGTCGAGTTTGTTTGTACGACGTTGGTGGGAAGTTAGTAAAGTTACCACGTAATTAGCCTGATCTTGGTTCCATGTAGTCCGCAAATTCACTATATATCAATGCTGCATCGATGGTCAACAAAAAAAGGTCGAGCATTGGAACTAAAGCTCGTCCTTTGGTTGCTGGGGGTTTCAGGTGAACATGATTTCTTGCAGGTAGTCTCAGATGTCCTGGTTAGTTTTCATAAATCTGTTAAAGGATGGTCCATGTAGTTTTTACTGGATGTTTTGCTGGAATTTCTGTTTCAACAAATCGGTCAGGGACATTCTCCTTTTTGGGCTCTAGCTTATCTAGCTTCCACTGGGCAATTGGCCGGTAGGTAGCATTTTTCTAGCTTTGTTAATATTTGGTGTAAAGTCTAGTAAAGATTATCGATATTATATTTATAGGGAATGACAAGGGTATTGAATTACGAAGGTTGAGCACTGAGTTTAATTTCTAGATTTTATATTATGTTGTTTTTACTTGGTTTTATTGTTCAACTACAACAAGAAACTTGCATATGGATTTCCCATGGTAGAGGTGGAGGGTGGGCTTTAGGTTGACTTCACTTTGAGGTAGATGGAATCTTGCTTGCATAGAGATGGCAATGAGCGAGCCGGGCGGTTTGGATACCAAGTGAACCTAGCTCGGCTCACTTTGGGGAGAGTCGAGCGTGAGCTAGCTTGACTTTAGCTTTTTGGGCTCAGCTGGTCCCATAGGCTTGCCTATTCGTGACGTTGAGCTGCCCATGGGTGCAGACCAAGCCGACGAGCCAGAAAGCAGCTTGTGCCCATTGCCATCTCTATGCTTTTGGGGCATTTCAAAAGAAAAGGTGAACTCGATTTTCCCGAGGGTGGAAGTGCATATTATAGCTTTGACATGAATTGAACAAAGCTCGTGTTGATTAAAAAAAATAATAATAAAAATAAAAGAATTTCACCCGAGATGTTTAACTTGACAGATGTCCAAGGGAAACTCTTCTTTTGTTTTAATGTCATAGAGGCCTCTTCTTATCTTGGTGTAATTGCATGAAGTTGACTTGTTGGAACAATATTGATATGACTGGGAAGAAACCAGATTAAAATGGTAGCCCCAAATTAGAGCTGAGATTTAGAACTAGAGAAATGCTAAAAAAAGAGTTTGGGATAGGGTTTAAATTTAGGCAGACGTGGCATTCACTAATTGGGTAGTTAGGGAAAAAAAAAAAAGAAAAAAAGATAACGAAACAGGTGTTGATTCCAAAATCTGTTGGCTATCCTTGTCAGGATAGCTCTACTGTTAGAACTATTGGGATACCATGGCTCAACCCACCCGGGCTAGTTCATTTGAATTCCAAATTAGCCAATGTCAATTCAAATCAGGATAAAAATGTCAAGGGGCTTCAACCATTTACCAACTGTTTAGCCATCAATCTACTATTGAAGAGAGTCGGTTTCTCCACATACTAATCATCTGCTTATGCATACAATGGCCACTTCACGGACGATTAGCTACTTATCTCAACAAGTATAAACATGAAATAGCGTCGAAGTATAATCCACTGCCACCCTTTCTTCCAGTGGACGTGAATTCTAACCTTCACCCATTTTTGTAGACATCTAAAGACGAAGAAGCAGAGGGAACCACTCTTTTTAAGAGGTGAGTCGAGTTTGTTTGTACGACGTTGGTGGGAAGTTAGTAAAGTTACCACGTAATTAGCCTGATCTTGGTTCCATGTAGTCCGCAAGTTCACTATATATCAATGCTGCATCGATGATCAACAAAGAAAGGTAACTATAAAGCATAAAATAAATTGTTGGAACTTTTTCATATTTTGTTGAACAAGCCAAGCATAAGGTTAAGCATTTCTTTTTGGTTTTTTTAACCATTTTGCATTTTTATGATTTAGATAGTATAGTTTTTGAATTAAAAAATTCATTAAATAAAATTAATACAAAAATAAAAAAGAACAAATTTTATAATATTTAAAGGAGAAATCACTATATAAGAAAACTTCAATCAAACATATATGAGTTTGCGTTGGTACTCTTTAACAAAATTATCCTCTTAAGATGGATCTCAAAATTCAACATGATAATAGAGCAAACAAATATTTTATTTCAAGCCAAAAATGAAATTGTGCGCGTTGCCTCCATTTGAAGGACATGCTTAAGACTATGTTTAAATAACGTACACATGTTTCTATCTAACAACATGAGTTTTTAAATTAAGTGGTTCAACCATTAACTAAAATTATAATGATATTATCTCTTAACTAAAATCAGTGCTTTCATTTAAAAAATATGAAAAAGATTAAGATCTTAAGAAAACTAGAGAAGAGAGATGTCTTCTATTTATAATAGTTTCAACAAGTATAAAGACAAAAATGTAAAATGAGAGCACATTTTGTTTTTTCGATGGATGATTGGAATCCTGTGCATCCAAGGAAAATGATAGGAGGAAGAAAGTATGGCGTTTGAGACAATTTCTATGTCAGTCATATAGAATCTAAATCCTTACTTAGTGGGTATCAAAATCAAAATTTTGGCAGATTTTAATAAAAGTTGATGAAGTTACGAGTCTCATGAAATATCTGTTAACAATTAATTATAGACTTCGATAAAAGTTTCGATTTTAACCACTAATAAACATGGACTAACATTAAAAGGGAGTAAAAAGCAATGGAGATCATATTGCTTCAGTTTTTTTTTTTTTTTTTAATATCCAGGTATCCACCTTACAGTGACTAAATCTTAGAGTCTACACCTTGGCCCCTCAAGCTGCAGACAGGTTAAACCGCAGGTTGTGCCGCAAACTGATCAGTGCTCAAGAGCCCTCCCAACTGATCTGTCAAAGTGCCAAGCAAGTCGTTATATTACTTTAGTTTTATCAAGATAACAAGGGGTGAAAGATCACAATTGAAAAGCCAATAGAGTGCATACGCTTTCTCATAGCACAATATATAGACAAATGACGACAAAATGTTTCATCAACTGCCTGAAATAATTTGTTCGGATGTCGCAAAGATATCAAAGTCTCCTTAATTTAGAAGCAAGTCTCACAAAACCAACAAGCCTGACCAGTTCCATCCTTAAAATTCAGCCATCGTTTATGGAAGATATCTCCTTTCGTGAATATTGCAACCTTCGAGTGCAAAAGCTAAAACCCTATTCCTTACTATAAGTGGTGGAAGGAGGTGGGAGCCTGTGGGATCCCTTGTCCCCACTGAAACTTGAGAAAAGGTCCCCTTTTTTTTTTTAAACTCTATATTTTGATATTACTATGCGCGCACTATTTGTGTGAAAATCGATTTTTGGATGAAATTAGGTGGTCCCATATTGTATTACACGGTGGCCACAGTGACAGAGAAAAGGGTAATTATATTGTTACCATAAATTTTACTTGCTACATCACAAATTTACCCATCTAATGAAATTGTCAATACCCATTGTCGTTTCAACTACTATAGTTTGCGCTCTAAATGAATAATTAGGTATACAATCTAGAATTTTTCATTTTTGTATCCAAACACCAAAGGCACGTTCAATCACATGTCTACAAGGTGAGTGCCTATAGTCGAACATCTCTAGAAATTTTTTGAAAATTACGTCTCCAACCCGTAGGACCATCTCGGAATTACTGAAAGTATTATAGTATGTTGGAGATTGATTGAAGAAATTTGATGATACTCTATGAGTATGGGCGTATAGTATGAGTTTCAAAACATCTATTGACATGTTCCATACCGATTGTTCAAAAAATGTGTCATCTTTCAGTTGAGTTAAAGCACAAAACATACTGTTTACATTTTGAACTTTGATATGAAAGCAGTTGGTAAAAAGATAAATCTCCATCCCAAATGTATGAATTTCATTTGGGGTCCTATGAGATGGCAAAGCTTTACAAGGAGAATATAAAGAAATGACATGATCAACACATTAAAGAAATAAATTTCATATTGGTCAATAGATATTGCTATAAAATTCTCGTCGTAAACTATTTTTGAGACAATTGAGGTTAAAAGTAAACGGGCATCGCTTAAAGGCATATTAGGAGTTTTCTCCAATGCGAAATCAACTATCCAACTCGACATTTAGGAGTAACTGAACCAACAAGGCAAGCTAAAGACTTAAATAGGTGCTAATTGCGATGCGAACTACATACACGACTATTTCCTCCCTTATGATTCATTTTGCAATTGCATCCATTTTGCATCAGAAAAACACACGCTCGTATAATGATCATACTAGGAGTTTTCTCCAACGAGAAATCAACTATCCAACTCGACATTTTGGAGTAACTAAACCAACAAAGGCAAGCTAAAGACTTGAGGTGCTAATTGCGATGCGAACTACATACACCACTATTTCCCCCCTTATGATTCATTTTGCAATTGCATCCATTTTGCATCATAAAAACACTCTCGTATAATGATCATATAGTTCTTGTTCTATAGGAAAATGGTATGAAACTAAACGAACTATTGATATCAGATAAAGGTGAATGAAAGGCATTAATTCTTCATCCACCACTCGCGTACAAGCGAACGATGATGGCATACATTCGTTCCTCTCACCGGAGCATCCACGAGGTTTAGTGAGGAAGTCTTGCAATGGAAGTTGTTACTCAATTTTTTGACAAATGTAACCGAGTTTGAGGTTACTAAATTAGTTCGAGTTGTCGGTAGAGAAAGATTGCAAAGCTTCACATCTGCTCTACACACTTTTGGTCCGATAATTCCTAGCAAACTTCAATCATGATTTAGACATTCTAGGTTCGAATCATTATCATCAGACACGGGTTCGAGATTGTTATATTATGTTCATTGATGATTGTTATGGTTTGACTCGGTATCACGTTAGTCCCTCCCGGACGAACTAAACACTGGTGCCTTCTCATATGGTAGGGAGGGATGTGACCACTTGCCGTGAAGGAGTTTGAGCAGAATTGCTTGACAAGGCCATTGGACATTCTCGATATGTTTATGGGCTACAATATCCCGATTTGACATCACATAGGACGAACATAAATGGACACGCTGGTTTCTTGTATCACTTGGAGCATAAACATAAGATAGAGCTCAGCAGCTACATCTAAATTCTCATCTACAGTTTGGCTGCACAAACAGGTCGTTATACCTCCTAGGTATAAATACCATGTGATTTATGTTGTTACATTTACATTTACATTAGATATGATGATTGGTATTCAAAGTTGTTACCAACTAAACTCTGATAATTTTCACTATTTTGGGAATGAAGTCTGAATTTGAAGCCTTATTTGATATACCTGAGTTTTGGCATACCATGTCTGGAACATTCAAGAACAATCTAAATCAAGAGCACCATTTGTACACACATTATTTTCTTAGGACGTGTTTGGTGCAAAGTGTTGAAATTATAGACAAGATTTTAGCTTCTTTTCTTTCGTAATATATATTATTTAAGCATGCATTAAAAAGTTCTTTTTTCTACTGCAAC